ACCGGCACCGCACGTGAAAAATAATTTCCCGACTGAGAAAATGCATGTGAACTCAAGTCGGAAAGCTCTAATAATACAAATCCAACACATCTTTGTAGTAACGAGAGTGTCCATGTTGTTTTCCACATTCCGATTTAAAAGCACAACTTGGGAAATGAGAGCATCCGAGGAGCGCGTGAATGCAGCAATTACACTTGCTCTGATGGCAGCAGGTAGATACCGTTAGCTAGCCAAGCTAAACATTCTTAAATTAAAATGCCAAAAGCTAAACTTCCCTTGTAATGACTTGCAATGAGAAGCGTTTCTAAACCTGTTGTCCAACAAAAGAGTATAGACACTACAAAAGACACTATAACATTTTTACTCCACAACTGTTTCCTTTTGTGATCTGATGTGGCTTCTTGTCACAGAATGAGGCAGAAAATGTGTTCTATACTGTAAAAAGCATATGGTAAAAAAGCTATGTCGATTAGCAATGGATTATAAATATACTTAATTATGATGAAAATACCAGAGATGGCTTGAATAACACAGATAAACTATACATTGTCGCAGTCGAGCGTTTATTGTCTTTGTTTTATCATTCAAAACGTTTATATCTTCTGTTCACTCAGTTATAGCAATAGCAATGCCTTTCTCCATATTAGGGATTTCCTGAGTTCTATTCCATCTGTGATGCACATGTGGAGTTTCTGCACGATGGCGCCCTCTGGCGTCCAGTATGAATGAAACAGACATTAAATGTGTTTATAGCGCTTAATAATGGCCAATCCATCCTATTTTGGGTAATTTAATTTAATTTTTATTTTTTTTAAGTATCAGTTCAGGCACCGTTTAGGCACCAGTACCATTTTAAAAGTATCGATTTGGCACCGGTATCGGAAAAAAACCCAGACGATACCCAACCCTATTCGCGATGCATCAATTTATTTTAATTTTTATTTTATTCATATTTTTTCATTAAATAGCTTACAAAGTAATTTGAAAATGTTCTGTGAGAAGTAATTTCACAAACAGCGTGAGTGAATCCCCGCACGCTCTCTCTTTACCTGTCAAAATGCACAAATGGCTTCAAATCAGCACATCGCGTCTGCACTATAAACGAGCTGCACGCTGCACAGTTGACAGGAATTGTGTCTTGCACAATCGAGGCAGTGTCGCATCATCACTAAAGTTTATAATTTGCATTTTTTTTAAGTCTTGCCAGTGTTTAAAGCATTCAACACTCGCGCGCTCTCCTAGAGACGGTGCTCTCATGCACTCAAGCACGCACACATAAGACCTGAGCAGAGCACCCTTAATTAAAAAAAAGGTTTTGCCTGCAGTGTCTTGCATCAAGGACTGTGACACTTCAGTAAGAAACAAAACAAAAGATACCCAAACAACGAGACACATAAAAGCCAGCCAAATGGAAACATTTAAGGAGAAGACTGGAAAGCTGATAAAAACCACTGTATTCTCTTGCCAGGACTCCTGTCATTAACTCTGTGTAAACCACAAGAGTATATTCTGTACAAGCAGATAAAGACGTGGGAAAATGCACAGAATTACTGCAGGACACACCATATTGATCTGGGCACTGTTCAGACTGATGAAGACTGGACAAGTCTAAAAGAAGCTGCAGATGAACAACAGTTTTCTTCATTTGCCTGGATCGGACTGTTCAATGACATCAATGGCTGGCACTGGTCTTATAATGACGAGAGTCTGGTGTTCGAGTCCTGGGCTCCTGTCCAGCCAGATAACTACGGTGCAGGAGAGGAGTGCATCGCCATACATTTATATGGAACCTGGCATGATTTCTACTGCACAGACTTAAGATATTTTGTGTGTTACGATGGTGAGAAACACGCACAATCACTCTACTGATGCTCATGAACTCAGTGTATAAAGTTAAGAAACTAAGATATATGGGTGTGTCATACAAGTAAACATTTATATCACAATATTCTTTTGGTCAGTAATCATGCAGTAATAAAGTAAAGTTATATTCTAATTTACTATTTTCACTCAGAAACTGCTGGTAAATTTCACAAATAATTACAAAGAGATGGAAAGTAACACTGAATTAAAAATGAAATTAAGTATTTTTGTACAAAATACACTAGAATAACAACTTTGAAAAATGTTTGTTTTCATTTTTGTGTGAACTATCCCTTCAGACTCCCATTGTGTATTGTCCATGTAATGTGCAGTAGTGAGAAAGATTTTATTAAAACATCACACAGGATTGGCTTTTGTTGTCAGTGATGAATGTGTTAAGATTTGGGTATTGCCCTCATGAAAAGGTCACATTTATGGCAAAACATCCATTGCTTCATCCATTGAGTAACTAAATGCTGTTTCTGTGTTCAGTTAAAGCAGACGCTGAGCGATGAAGACATCACACTGACATGGAGGACGCAACCCAACGGGAAAGTCTTCCAGAAGAACAGGACTGTACCGAAACATAGTGAAGCAAACACTTCCTCTGTTTGCTAAGTCATGTTCTTCATTGGAGTGAAATTTATCTAGCGATACAATTTATCTACAGATATCTGAATTATTGCATTACATTAGCAATTTAACAAAGCAATTTGTCAAGAATACATTTACATATATGAATTTAGCATTTATTAATTTTGCAGGCAGATATGTTGTCAGAATATGAGCAAACAAATGTAAATGTGTATTAGCAAATGTTACAGTTACCTTTGTCTACATTAATAATAAATAAAGAGGGTAAACGTACCTATTAAGCTCACGTACCCATTAAGCACACTTCCATATTTGAACTCAGATTATAAAAAGAAAAAATACTGTATTATCCTACTTGATGTCTTAACAAATTTATGTGTTTGTTTCTACATACTAGGCCTGTGCAATTAATCGCCTGCGATTAATGAACACGATATTGCCTAATTGTCAGTGAACTACGGCTCTGTGTAGTAAATGCCGCTCCATCTGAAAGCAGCTGATGGAGATTTACTACTAATCACGGAACCGGCTTCACTGACGAGATGTGCATGACAATCACATTCAATTAATTGCACAGCCCTACTACATACCTCCTGTAATTTCAAGTCAGTCAGATCATTGCACACTGAGATATGGGTCTCCATGTGTTCACTCTGTATGACAGCTATTTTGAAAGCTGCCTGAAAACTTTCACCAAAAGAGGAGCCCATTCAATGTGCATTTTTTAGATGTTTAAGCCTTTATTTTGGGTAAGTTTCACTACTTACTGTAAAATTAAGAGATTAATGTTTAGACTTTTACATATTATTACCTAGAACTTGGATGTGGGAAATAATTAGAGTTAAGAGGAGCTCCTTAAATGTGCATTTTTTAGATGTTTAAGCCTTTATTTTGGGTAAGTTTCACTACTTACTGTAAAATTAAGAGATTAATGTTTAGACTTTTACATATTATTACCTAGAACTTGGATGTGGGAAATAATTAGAGTTAGATCCAAAAGAGAGTTTTAGCAACATAGCGCAGGTGCTACAGAACACAGTTAGCTGACTAGCTGTGTAAGATTGTGTGCTACGCTAATAAATTACGTCACAGGCATTACTGGCTTGTACTTTTACATCCATAATATTATAAATTAACAGTTTATTGCTGGTCTGTGGTTTTATACTGTTTTTTCATATTATTTTAAGGTGAGCTTAAAGGGTACACTACTATGAAAATCACACAGCTTCAGTGAGACATCAGTAAGAAAAAGTATAATTTCATAGATATTGTTAATAATAGTTGTTCATATTAAAATATGTATGACCTTAATACATGACCTAGATTATTTATTTTGCAAAATCTTGTCATTTTAATAAATATTACTGTTACGGCCCATAACCATTTTAAGGCTCGTTAATTCAAACACTTAAATAAAGGACACAGGCCGAACATATTAAAAAGAATCACAACACCTGATGTGAATTTCAAGACGCCTCTATTTAATTAATTTACAGGATTCAACTCAAAACATCCAGAAAATAATGTGCAACAATTCACAAAGAATATTTATGAACATAATCTAATACATAATACCAAAGAAAAAATAATCAGCTCACGGGTAGGAAAGCTAGGAAAACAGACTCCTGACTACCCCTGTTCTCGGAATAAAGTTCTTACCTGACTCCCGAAATAAAAATAAGAACTGGTGAGTCTTCCGGACCCCTGCTTCCCTCGCTCAGTTCTTACTAAATAAACAAAACGTGAACTAATAAATAAATACACTACCCGCTACTGACAAGTAAGAAAGTAGACTATATCACATATCAAAACACAAATTTACAAGTTAAACCCAAGCATAAAGAAAACAAAAATATAGCCTCAAAGAGGCGATGAGAGAGAGGCTTGCAAGAACAATGGGAAGCAGAGCAACAGAGAGAGAGACCGCCATTGTCGCCTCGCAGCCTATTTATCCAGAATCCTTGATGACGTCACGCGACTCACGGAATGGGAAACCCCCACAACGCCACCTATGGGCTTAGAATATAAGTGTCACACAGATACACGTAACACCCTCACCCTTAAGTGAATAAATTGTAGAAATGCAAATGATCTTACCTTTCTCTCCCTCTTTCTCTATATATAAAAAATAAAAGAGAGAAAATACAATTTATTCCCATTAGACACGAGATAAAGCGTCAGCAACGACATTCTCTTTACCACGAATATGCCGGATGTCCAATTCAAACGGTTGCAAAAACAAACTCCAACGCATCAAACGTTGGTTATTGTTTTTCATTCGGTTCAGAAAGACTAAAGGGTTATGATCTGTATAGACAATCAATGGATACGAAACGGAACCCACGTAAACGTCGAAATGTTGGAGAGCAAGGACAAGAGTGAGCGCCTCCTTCTCAATGGTGGAGTAACGTCGCTGATGTTTATTAAACTTTAGTGAAAAATAGCAAACGGGATGCTCAACACCAGTCTGATCTCGTTGGAGAAGTACAGCTCCCGCACCTGTCAAGCAAGCAAAAACGGAGATGAAAAATCAGGAGCAAAAAGAATAGGAGAATTGATCAGAAGCACTTTGATCTTTTCGAAACTCATTTGACACGATTCCGTCCATTTGAATGGTACTTTTGGACTGAGGAGATCGGTTAAGGGAGAGGCAACAACAGAAAAATTTACACAAAAATTCCTGTAATACCCAACCATGCCCAAGAATCGACGCAACTCACGGCGCGTAGTGGGTACAGGAAAATTAGTAATAGCCTCCACCTTAGACTCAACAGGCCGAACTTGCCCGCCCCCAACAATCTTTCCCAAATACGTCACCGTAGCTCGTCCAAATTCGCATTTCGCTAGATTGACCGTAAGATTAGCACGAGCCAGACGATTGAACAATATGTCAAGCTGTTTAATGTGTTCTGACCAGGACGCGCTATAAATAACCAAGTCATCCAGATACGCCTCAACATTATGCATGCCCTCGATAACACGATTTACCAACCTCTGAAAGGTTGCCGGTGCATTGCGTAAACCGAAAGCCATCACCGTATAACTAAGGAAATGGTCAGGTGTAACGAACGCGGAGATCTCCTTTGCGCGTTCCGTCAAAGGCACCTGCCAATAACCTTTAAGCAGGTCAATCTTAGTCACGAAAACCGCATTTCCGACACGATCGACGCAGTCTTTCATGCGAGGCAAAGGATAACTGTCTGGTTTTGTGATCGCATTAACGCGTCTAAAATCAGTACAAAAACGGAACGTGCCATCAGATTTTTTTACAAGCAAACAGGGTGAGCTCCAAGAGCTATAACTTGGCTCAGCGATGTTATTTTCAAGCATAAAGGTTACCTCTTTTTGCAACTGAGCTCGCTTCTCGGGACTGACCCTATACGCATGCTGTTTTATGGGCAATGAATCGCCAACATCAATGTCATGTTCTACCAGCGAAGTACGAGAAGGAACATCAGAAAACAAGCTTCCATAAGTCCGAATTACATTAATCACGTCAGCGCGTTCGGTAACAGTCAAATGAGAAAGAACCGAGTCAAGTTTTTGAATCATCCCAGAATTTTTCAACCTTCCCGCCACCAATTCTGTAGAGGTAAAATCAACATCATCCTCCTCAAGTGTAGTCAAGACAGCGGCATTATCAGAAACAACAGAGGACAATGGACAGGTCAAAGGTTCAGCACTGGACAGCGCCCCATCAGCAGGTAAATCAGCACTGGACAGCGCCTGCTCCTTAATCACCGGAAAATCTGTAGGTGAGACAATTAACACAGCCGACTTCTGCCCAGACAGATCTAGCTGTCTCTCAAAGTACGGCTTAAGCATGTTAATATGACACAGACGAGTTTTTTTCTTTCTATCTGATGTCATTATCACATAGTCAAGCTCACTCACCTTCTCTTTCACCTGGTAAGGACCGTAGTAACGAGCCTGTAGTGCAGATCCAGGTACTGGCAACAGCACTAACACTTTATCACCAGGAGAAAAACTACGAAGTTTAGCACCACGATCAAAACGTTTTTTCATTCGTTGTTGTGACATCTCCAAATTCTTTTTGGCCAATTCACATGCACGGTGCAGTTTTAAACGAATCTCTGAAACATAATCAAGG